CGACTTCTGTGACAAGCTTTTTCTTTTTTTAAATTTACACTAAAAAAAACAAGGGAGAAGCCGCAAAATATCCAAATTATGCCTTAAATTATTCTGTAATAACTGTGTCTGCCCATCAATCAAAATATTATACAACACTACAAAATTTGAACAACCAGTGTAACTCATGCCCGAAAAACATAGTCAAGCTCATTTAAACAAATAAAACTATGGCCAAAACAACCAGGATGATGATGATCGACGGGAGCCATTGTTTCAGGAAACCCTGCACGCTAAAAAACAAGTTTTACTGCACAAATCCTTTAACTTTAGTTACCTTGATAAAGTAAGAGGAACTAGGATGCTAGATGTAGCAAAACAATTACCCAACAAAAGAGCCTTTGACTAGGATGGAATACGTCAAATTAGCCATGTTGTAATTGTCAAGACCGTTATACCGCATTTTGTTTAATGCCAAAGCAACGTGGGAGTGGCAATTGTCGCAAAACAAATTATGCTAAAAAAAAATAAACTCAAAATCAAATTTTTCAAGATATTTTCATAAGCTACCAGCTCATATAGAAAAAGAACTGCAAACCAGTAATCTATTGCTCTAGCAAATTCTACTAAAGAAGTGACCGGATGCAATATAATTTAAGACAGTGATTAATACTTTCATAAGCTTCGAATTAAAAAAAAAAAGGAAATTGAGGGTATTACAGCGTGCGTTTTATATTCATCAGAAGCTTCTTTGACGGCGCGATCATATGCTTCAATACCTCCAGGAACATTAGCGGGATCCAGCTGCCAATAAAGCGTCGGCCAACCAAATCCCATGTTGTTTTCCTAAATAGCAAAAAAGGTGAATAGCACGACACGATGAAACAACTGTTAATCCCAATAGAACTGATAAAGAATGTTAAAAAATCATAAGCGCCAAAAAAAGACAAAGAATTTCAACTATATATTCTTCCCAAAAACAGTGCATGAGGTCCTATTTCCTATAGTTAAAAATGAAAAAAGCTGTGATTCAAAAACGTCTTGCGCTGCAGAAATACAAAAGAAGCAATAATAAAAAAAAGAAATTATAAAAAACTGTAACAATGCCCCAGTCACTTTTCTGCTAGTACGAAATATTCAATTCAATATCCCCTCCCCTCACGCACTTTATATCTTTCTTACTTCAAATGAAAAGCCTGAGCCTCCAAATTCAATTGATACATTATCCTACAAAAGAAATTCAGATACACATTCAATTGGTAAAAAAAAAACTAAAAATGTTGGTAAATACGAATCACCTACGCTAACGTAATAACTACCAGCAAAATCTCGTATAATCCCCTTACTCGTAGCTATCCCCATGTGGCCAATGTACGGAAACATCCATCTGAAAAGTATCGCTTGGTTAGTTCCGTCAGTAATTTTCTTGAGCTTAGAGAAGGAGAACTGACGTTAGCAATGGAATCGGCGTCCACACAATACAGAACGGGTAAGTATGAAGTTTATGGTTAACAGTCATGATTAAAGGATCGATACTTGCGTCCTGTTTTCCACCTCCCATACAATTCTGAAACAGATGAAAGTATAAACAAGAATTTCTTAATTTGCAATACCTCAGTGAGATACTTAACCCAACGACAAAGTAATTGCTCTCCAACACCTTTATTCGTAATTATTCGCTTCAACGTTTTTCTCAGTAGAAATTCAGTAGAAGTTCCTGAAAAACAAACTTCTTCATTCGAAAACCCATCCCTTCAAAAACCTACTAGTCACTGGACAAGTAATTCAGAACTTGGTTTTAGCAAAGAAAAACGTTCAATTTTCAGGACCTAAATCCACGTGGGTGCACAATCGAAGAAGATCACATTTTCACAGTCTAAGCCAATTTTGAAAAAAAATTTAAAACAAAGTACAAAATTTGGAAACTCAACACAGATTACTAGTTCTCTAAGCTCTAGTTCTAACTCTATTGCTTCATGATAGTCTTAGACATTAACAAGAAGAATTATTTGATAAGTTAAAGCGCTTTTTTTTCAGCAAGCGGAGTGATCGACCATCAAGTAGTATAATGTCAAATAAGTAGCTCGCTACTTCTTCATGTGACTGGAATTTACGGGTAAAAAGCTGATGTGGCTTACATCAAGAGACGGATATGCACCGCAAAACAGTTGAGCAAGTTCCTGTTCCAGATATGCGCTCCAAAAGTAGTAACGAAATGAAAAAAAAATTTATTTATTAAATTTACTGAGCACTTAACAACTGATTCTATTCAGAAAACACACAGACTTTCATTTGAGCGTTTTAGATACCGCAAAGACACCCAAACTAAATCAAAGACAGAAATTCCATACCCAGACTGTCCAAAGAACCTCAAGGGAACAATAGGTAAGAACTAGCAAACTCCTAGTCCGAACTTATTATTTGAGACTCACAACAACTTGGGCGATTTAAAATTACTTTCCAATGTCAAAAGCCCGATCTTTCACCGACATTTCAAAATTTGAATTTGTTGCCGATTACAGCCGAATTTTATATTAAGCACAGTGCTGAAAAACAATGATGCTAAAAATGAACGGTTTTCAGAATGCTTACTCTCGATCAAATTATTAAAATTCCGGGAGTTTTGCTTTGCTGCTAGAAAGAAGTAGACTGAATTGGAGTTCTCAACTTTTCATGCGGGTCCTGTTGATAACTGAATTTGTTTTCATACGGGACATCGTTGAGCAGTTAAATGCTACACTTTTATAGACTATATAAGAACTTGGTCAACAGATACCGCCGAGAAGAAGAATTAGATCAACCTTTACTGTTGAGAAAGTTATTTGGAGAAAATAGCTCAAGCGTCCACTAAATTGTCTCAGAAGTGTCAAAAACTAAATAAACTTGCCAACACTTGATACTGATTAATATATATTTTTCTATATTATTCAGTCAGAAAATGCGGCCTCTAGTACGGTTCCTCGTTTATAAAGCTAAATGGGATAGATAACGGTCTAACTGTGTATGCCTATTGGAAATATCATCGTTAAAATATAGGGGTTGAATGTACTGCTCCAAAGGGATACGTCCCGTTCAGCTACGATTCACAGCGGTAAACGGCTTCCCGTTTGTCGTCCACTTTAACCAGTCGTTATCAACAAATTCTGTCTATCGGACTTACAACTAATCAGCAGACCAAATTCTGCAGTATTCTTTTGAACCAAAGCACTTTTATTTTTGGGCGTCGAGACTCTTCTACTACTACCATATTTTTTTCATTAAAATATCTTTTTCAGCTAATGATATTTCAAAAATTTCTGGATGATAAGATTCAAGTAGACAAAAAATAAAAAAAAAATTATTTTCTTGTAATCTTGACTTTATAATTATTGTTGGGATTTTCTGATGAACTTTGTGTGCTGATTTTTATAGCAAATAAAGTCTGCAGTAGTAAACTGGTATTGAAGATTCTTATAGAAAGTACAGATAAATTTTTTAAATTGAAGAAAAAAGTTGTCGTTTCTATGCTGAAAACTATGACGGCTCATATAGGTACAAAACGTTTTCTTTTTCTGTCACCTTTAAATCAACAAGTTGGCTAAAAAGTTTGTCTTTTGAAAACTTTGAAATGTCTGTTCGATTTCTCATCAATACTTCATTAATAAACTATGAAGTTGAGTTTTTGTAATGTGTTGGAAGCGTGTAAGACGCATAAAGTAGATTTAGCCAAATATATAGTTTTTTTTAGCAGTTTAAACGACGTGAAACCATTTTCTAAAGAAGCCAGCAACATACGCAGGACTATTTTTAATCATTCTATCTCCCTGAATCCTACAATTCAAGTAAAAGAAAGTCTACTCCCAATTCCCTCAAAACCATAATTCTTATCTTATCTACTCGTCATTGGTTGCTAAGCTTTGTAAACCTTGAGTTGACCACTTGATCATTGTGTCACATTCAACTGCCCTGTTCAAGCGCCCGTCTCCCCACCTTAACAGACGCCTGTGCCTCAAATGCTCTTCTAACAAATTTCAGCATTAGTCTCTTATCACAGTCTTCTTGGCAATAGTCTGTACTAAAAAAAAAAAA